ATGGATGTTGGCCCGAAATTTTCTTTTCTTGTTGCGTCTCTGCCAGGTTTTGGTATCAGCATGATGTTGGTCTCATAAAATGATTTGGGAAGGAATCCCTTTTTTTGGATTGTTTGTAATAGTTTCAGAAGGAGTGGTACCAGCTCCTCTTTGTATGTCTGGTCAAATTCGGCTGTGAACCCATCTGGACCCGGGATTTTTTTGGTTGGTAGGCTATTAATTGCTGCCTCAACTTCAAATTCCTCAACCAATAACCTTGTTATTGGTCTATTCAGGGTTTTGACTTCTTCCTGGTTTAGGCTTGGGAGGGTGCAAGTGTCCAGGAATTTATCCATTTCTTCCAGGTTTACGGGTTTATGTGCATAGAGTTGTTTGTAATAATCTTTGATGGTAGTTTGTATTTCTGTGGAATCAGTGATTATATCCCCTTTATCATTTTTTATTGCATCTATTTGATTCTTCTCTTTTTTCTTTTTTATTAATCTGGCTAGTGGTCTATTTTGTTGATCTTTTGAAAAAAAACAGCTCCTGGATTTATTGATTTTTTTGAAGGTTTTTTTGTGTCTCTGTCTCCTTCAGTTCTGCTCTGATCTTAGTTATTTCTTGTCTTCTGCTAGGTTTTGAGTTTTTTTGACCTTGCTCCTCTAGCTCATTCAATTTTGATGATAGGATATCAATTTTAGATCTTTCCTTGCTTCTCCTGTGGGCATTTATTGCTATAAATTTTCTTCTAGACACTGCTTTAAATGTGCCCCAGAGATTTTGGTACGTTGTGTCTTCATTCTCTTTGAAGAACACCTTTATTTCTCCCTTCATTTCATTGTTTAACCAGTCAACATTCAGGAGCCAGTTGTTCAGTTTCCATGAACTTGTGCGGTTCTGAGTTAGTTTCTTAATCCTGAGTTCTAATTTGATTGCACTGTAGTCTGAGAGACTGTTTGTTATGATTTCTGTTCTTTTGCATTTGCTGAGGAGTGATTTACTTCCAATTATGAGGTCAATTTTACAGTAGGTGGGATATGGTGCTGAGAAGAATGTATATCCCAAATCCCCAGAAGAATATTTCTGTGGATTTGGGGTGGAGAGTTCTGTAGATGTCTATTAGGTTTGCTTGGTCCAGATCTGCATTCAAGTCCTGGATATCCTTGTTAATTTTCTGTTTCGTTGATCTGTCTAACATTGACAGTGAAGTGTTAAAGTCCCCTTCAATTATTGTGTGGGAGCCTCAGTCTCTTTGTAGGTTGTTAAGAACTTGCTTTATATATCTGAGTGCTCCTGTATTGGGTGCATATATATTTAGGATCGTTAGCTCTTCTTGTTGCATTGATCCTTTTACCGTTATGTAATGCCCTTCTTTGTCTCTTTTGATCTTTCTTGGTTTAAAGTCTGTTTTATCAGAGACTAGGATCGCAACTCCTGCTTTTTTTTTGTTCTTCCTTTGCTTGGTAAATCTTCTTCCATCCCTTTATTTTGAGCCTATGTGTATCCTTGCACGTGAGATGAGTTTCCTGGATATGGCACACTGATGGGTTTTGCCTTTTTATCCAGTTTGCCAGTCTGTGTCTTTTGATTGGGGCATTTAGCCCATTTACAATTTTTTTTTGAGACAATCTCACTCTGTCACCAAGCACCAGGTTGGAGTGCAGTGGTGCAATCTTGGCTCACTGCAATCTCTGCCTGCCACATTCAAGCAATTATCCTGCTGGGACTACAGGCATGCGCCACCATGCCTAGCTAATTTTTTTGTATTTTTAGTAGAGACAAGGTTTCACTACATTGGCCAGGATGATCTCGATCTCTTGACCTCGTGATCCACCCGTCTTGGCCTCCCAAAGTCCTGGGATTACAGGCGTGAGCCACCGCACCCAGCCAGCCCATTTACATTTAAGGTTAATATTGTTATATTTGAATTTGATCTTGCCATTTTGATGCTAGCTGGTTGTTTTGCCCATTAGTAGATGCAGTTTCTTCATTGTGTCAATGCTCTTTACCATTTGGTATGTTTGTGTAGTGGCTGGTACTGGTTGTTCCTTTCTGTGTTTAGTGCTTCTTTCAGGAGCTCTTGTAAGGCAGGCCTAGTGGCGATGAAATCTCTGAGCAATTGCTTGTTTGTAAAGTATTTTATTTCTCCTTTGCTTATGAAGCTTAGTTTGGCTGGATATGCAACTCTAGGTTGAAAGTTCTTTTCTTTAAGGATGTTGAATATTGGCCCTCACTCTCCTCTGGCCTGTAGGGTTTCTGCCAAGAGATCCGCTGTGAGTCTGATGGGCTTTCCTTTGTGTGTAATGCAACCTTTCTCTCTGGCTGCCCTTAGCATTTTTTCCTTCATTTCAACCCTGATGAATCTGACAATTATGTGCCTTGGGGTTGCTCTTCTTGATGAGGAATATCTTTGTGGTGTTTTCTGTATTTCCTGGACTTGAATATTGGCCTGCCTTGTTAGGTTGGGGAAGTTCTCCTGGATAATATCCTGAAGAGTGTTTTCCAGCTTGGATTCATTCTCTCCATCACATTGAGGTACACCTATCAAACGCAGATTAGGTCTTTTCATATAATCCCATATTTCTTGTAGGCTTTGTTCATTTCTTTTCACTCTTTTTTCTCTCGTCTTGCCTTCTCATTTTATTTCATTGAGCTGATCTTCAATCTCTGATATCCTTTCTTCTGCTTTGTCGATTCAGCTATTGAAACTTGTGTAGGCTTCACGAAGTTCTTGCGTTGTGTTTTTCAGCTCCATCAGGTCATGTATATACTTCTCTAAGCTGTTTATTCTCGTTAGCATTTTGTCAAACCTTTTTTCAAGTTTCTTAGTTTCTTTGCATGGGGTTAGAACATGTTCTTTTAGTCAGAGAAGTTTCTTATTACCCACCTTCTAAGCCTGTTTCTGTCAATTCATCAGACTCATTCTCCATCCAGCCTTGTTCCCTTGCTGGTGAGGAGTTGTGATCCAATGGAAGAAGAGAGACATTCTGGTTTTGGGTGTTTTCATCCTTTTTGCACTGGCTTCTTCCCATCTTTGTGGATTTATGTACCTGTGTTCTTTGTAGTTGGTGACTTTCCGATGGGGTCTCTGAGTGGACGTCCTTTTTATTGATGATGAAGTTATTTATTTCTGTTTCTTAGTTTTCCTTCTAACAGTCAGGCCTCTCTGCTGTAGGACTGCTGAGCTTCACTCCAGACCCTGCTTGCCTGGGGATCACCTGCAGTGGCTGCAGAACAGTAAGGGTTTCTGCTAGTTTCTTCTTGTGTTATCTTCCTACCAGAAGGATATCCACCAGATGTCAGCCTGAGCTGTCCTTTATGAGGTGTCTCTTTGGCTATGCAGGGGTTGGGGAGCTGCTTGAGGAGACAATCTGTCCTTATAGGAGCTCAAGTACTGATCTGTGAGCTCCATTGTCCCATTCAGAGCTGCTGGGCAGGTACGTTTGAGTCTGCTGCAACAGAACTCATAACCGCCTTTTTTCCCTAGTGCTCTGTCCTGGGAAGGTGGGACTTTATTTATACGTTCCTGACATGCTGTGCCTTTTTTTTCAGAGATACCCTACCCAGCAAGGAGGTAGCCTAGTCACAGTCTACCAGCAGAGGCGTTGCTGAGCTGCCGTGGGCTCTGCCCTGCTACTGTGTGAACTTCCTTGCAGTTTTGTTTATAGAGGTATAGTTAGAACTGCCTCAGTAATGACAGTCTGCCTCAGTAATGGCAGACTGCCTCTGTAATGGCGGATTGTCTTGGTAATGGCAGACTGCCTCGGTAGTGGTGGACTGCCTCGGTAATGGCAGATGCCTTTCCCCCCACAGAGCTAGACCATCCTGGGTCCAGCTGTGCTTGCTGTGAAACTCTCAATCCAGAGCGTTTCAGATTGCTGGCCTTTGTGGGGGTGGGACTTGCAGAGCCAGACCACCTGGCTCCCTGTTTCAGCTCCCTTTTTTTCAGTTGAATGGGTGGCTCCATCTCCAGGCATTCCAGGTGCCAGTTGAAACGGCCGTCCAGATTTGTGTGAGTTTTTGTGCAGAGACCCGCTGTGCCGGCTGAAACAGCTGTGCTGGAAACTAGTGGTGCTTTTCAGCCTGGGAATCTCCTGGTCTGTGGGCAGTAATAACTCATTTAGAAATGCAGTGATCACTCACCCTCTGCATTGTTCTCACTGGGGACTGCACTTCAGAGCTGTTCCTATTTGGCCATCTTGGATCCCTCCTCTGAACCTGTTCTACTGTCCACTTTAATGTTTCACTTTGAGCCTTCACCTGGCTGGTAAGATACTTAACTTCACTTTCTCTAGTAACTTCTACCCTGTCTTTGCCAAAGTCGGAAGAGAAACCTTCTCTTCCCTGGTATTGTACATAATGAAGCTTTATTTCACCATCCTGTCAAGAAGGGAAGAATTTTTCTCACAATTATTTTTTCCAGCCAATTCTCTGTTTACAGAGACATTTATCAACCACTGGAGAAGTACTCAGCTTTCACACTTAAGAAAGAGATATTATTGCCAGGAAGCAGAATGTTAATTCATTTTCCACTTTAAATTCTAGAATTTTTTTTTTCCAAGAGAAAAAGAAAAAGGTTAGTTTTTGTCCCAACTTACCAGGAGCATTAAGTCACTAAGTGAAATTCACTTAGTTTTCTCTTCATGTATGGGGAGGGTCCCGGCTTCCATGGACTCATTTTCCCATGCTACACAAAGTAACACACGTGTATTTAAAGTTTATGGATTATTTGGCATAGGGATCTCTCCAAAGTGCATGTCATCAGGGAACTGCCTCATTTTTCAATGGCCTTTTCCATGGAGGATTTGGAGGTACATATGCATCACACTGGGACTTAGTTATGACTGGGTAATGAAAGGCAGTGTCAATGGGAAAAGGGAATTTAGTGTGGGAAAGATAAGGAATTTCCTTTTTTATTCTTTAAGCACCAATTTAATAACACTGTACATAGAGTCTCTGTTGTTAAATGTACTTAAGGGTTAACATCATCCTCATGCCAAGACCTACCTGTGTTTCAGATAATGGAGGGCAGACTTTGGCAGGAGGCAATAACTGGCCCCTTCGAGGAAGGAAATGGAGCCTGTGGGAAGGCGGCGTCCGAGGGGTGGGCTTTGTGGCAAGCCCCTTGCTGAAGCAGAAGGGCGTAAAGAACCGGGAGCTCATCCACATATCGGACTGGCTGCCAACACTTGTGAAACTGGCCGGGGGACACACCAATGGTACCAAGCCTCTGGACGGCTTCGACGTGTGGAAAACCATCAGGTACATCCTGCCCTTTTTCCTCCCAGGACAGAAACTCCAAGAGCAGCCTGACTCCATTGAGCGAGAATGATAGCTTTTGTGTTAAAATGATAGTTCAGCTTACAAATACATGATTTCTAAGAAAAATAAAAATGCCTTTAGAGATATTGTAAGTATATGTATTTTTAAATTATGAATTTGAGATTGTAGGCCTGTGTTGTATGTGAAGAACAAGATTGTCCTCAGCCTGTTGCCCTCCATGGAAGGTCTTTGAAGCTGAGTGGTTTTGCGTAGAAGTAGGCTAGGGTATTGTTAGCTTCCTGCAGGGGTTCGGGGGACTTGTCCTGTTGCCTACTAGAAGAATGGAAGACAAAACAGTGGGGAAAGAGCTGGAATAGGAACTAGGGATATGTTTAGTTCCATTTATTAACAAGTATCTAACAAGCACCTACTATGTGGCACACCCTGCTCTAGATACTGAGAAATTAGAAATGAACAAGCCAGGCAAGATCCTGGCTCTCAGGGAGCTATGTTCTAGTCGGGGCAGAAAGGTGTTAGACAAACGAACACACAGATGAGCAAGATGACTGCCAGTGGTGATAAGTACCATGAAGGCAAAGAAAGCAGTGTGTTGTGATAGAGAGAGCCGGCAGATGTTAAAGGGATACATCAGGGAGCAGGACCCAGACTCAGGTTTGGAAATCATGGTGGTCTTTTTCCTGTTTAACCCCCACAGTGTAGAGCAATAGTTCCCAAGGTTACGAGGCACATAACCTTAGAAGAGCAAGATGTTCCCTTGGAGTACAGAAAGAAAAATTCAATTTTGTGTTTGTATTAATATCTAATTTCATCTTATCCTTTTTAAGTATATGTTTTATAAGACACATAATACATCAGTAGACTTGTACGTAAACTTAATTTATAAATGAATATGCATATATTGGAGGTATTATTTTTATAATGACAATTGTCTAGTGCAGTGATTTTCAACCTCTGCTTGGGGTTACCACTCTGTTTGGGAGTAGCAGCTGATTGACTGTCCCCTACTGGCCAGGGGAGAGGACTTCCTCATGCCATCTCTTCATCCCATTCCAGGTGTCCCAGCTCAAGAACAGTAGGGTTCAGGTTTCTAGTTGTAGGAAATACACAATGGAGTATTTAGGCGTAAAAAGCCGTGATATATTTAACATGCCCTCAAATAGTTCCGAAAATTGTGTGTGTGTGTGTGTACATGTGTACAGAGAATTCAAATGGACTGCAAAATTAATAACTAAAAGAAGGTAAGTAAAGTGCATAGGTATTTTTTTGTTATATCTTATTTTTGCAACTTTTTGTAAATCTGAAATTATTTCCGAATATAAGTGTTTTAAAAACAGGAAGTTCTGACAGCACTGAAGAAGACCAACAACTGACTGGAACCAAATAGCTGCTTCCTTCTGTAGATGAAGTATTCACCCTTCAAATCTTCAATTTCTATTGCTCCCAAGTCCTAATACAGGGCCACTGCACTCTTTTATGTTACCTACCTAGTCTCTGTAGGCATTTAAGTTTATAGTCCATGCTGAACATAATCATGGTATTCAACACTCTGGAAATACCATACTTTAACCATTCTCCAGTTGCAGGATATACGATTTCTTAACTTTTTATATTATCATTTTTTCTGTAATTAATAATCAATGTTAAAAAAATAGTAGCGTTCAGCAGCCTACAATTATTTTTTACAAAGGAAGTTTGATAGTTCTTCAAGTTTTAACATTAAAGTTTAAAGTCCCATGAGTTCAGGAATGGATAGAAGAAGAGTTCAGCCAGGCCACTCAACCTCTTACAACATGGAGTCTATCAGTTTCTCTCTAATAGGCCTCATCCAGAAGGGTGAGACTAGGGAAGGTCCTCATCTCTTACAAACCCAAAGGAAAATCTGATTTCATTAACTTTATAACCTTCTTTAAATTATTTTGCAACTCAAAGTTCCATGTTTTCCTTGGAGAATATATTAAATTTTAAAGATCACTTTTCAAGCAGCAACATTTATAGCATTGGGTAGCCATTTCTTCACCATTTCTAAACAATATTTTAGTTCTTGTAAGTCATATTATTTTCATATTATTTGTAAATCCTCACTAGCCTCAAACTGTTTCCTCTTCCTGCCTGAAAAGTTGATTTGTCAATTTGGAGACAATGATCAGTTTATGATTTTCCATTTCAAGAACACTCAACAGCATTCTAGTCACAGAAAAATTAATGCCACTGAACAGCTAAGCTGAGAAACAAACAGCAATAAAACCTTTTCTCTCACTAGAAATTTTGAAACTTTGAACTCATTATTTGCTCGTTCATAAGAGATGACTTCTTTTCTTTTTCTTTAGAACATTTCTGCCTGTATCCATGATCTAAACTTGATGTGTTAAATTTAAATTTAATTTCCCTGAGTGTAATATATGTTATTGTAGATAATTTGCAAACTACAAAAAATAAAAATAATCACTCAGATCTTACCTGGAAACAACTACTATAAACATTTTGTCATATTTCCTTAAAATTTTTCTTTTCAGCATTTTTTTTACTACATCTTTTTTTCCTTATTTAACAGACCATTGGTTTTAGATTGTGTTATCCAAGAAACTCACTGCAAACAATATTTCAGTAACTGCATAGTCAATCACATGGATATACCTTGATAGACTTAATCGTTCCCTTGACTTTCTTTTTTAGTTTTTTAAGACAATAACTCTGAAATGAACTCTTTCTACATGAACTCTTTGTCTACATTTTGGATTTTTTCCCTTAGATATAAATGATTTGAAATTAAATCACTGAGCTAAAGAAACTGACCAATGTTGGGGCTTGAAAAATAATACCCCAAAATGGAGGCCCCAGAAGCAGCCTCAACAACCATAGTTTTTCTCTGACCTCTTTCTGCCCTCTTGTCTCTCAGTCTCATTTTTTCCTGAGGCAAACCACAGAAACTAGAATCCTTCTTCCCCACGACGGGTCATAGAAACCAGAACCCCTTCTCGCCAGGGCTAATCATAAAACCTAGAAATGTTACTCTCATTTTCCCTTTGCCCTATTTGTGTAAAAAGTGGCCATAAAAAAGTTATCTGGCCTACCTCGTTTAACTGTAGGTCATAAGACTCCCATTCCAGAGCGGGTCCTCCCCTACACCCAGAAGGAAGGAATGCATGCCCAGAGAGGCCAAGAAGAATCTAGGCAGACAGACCTTGCTGGGTTTCTCCACTCAGGCTGTTAGTATTGGAGCACACCCTTTTGTCCATTTATATTTCTACACAGCTATCCATACTTTGTTAAACCTACACATAAAAATGAACAATTTCCTCTATATCTTTGGGTCTTCTAAAGACTCCCATATATACACATTAAATAATTTGGTATGCCTTTTTTCCTGTTATTCTACCTTTTGTGAGCTGATTTTTCAGTGAACTTTCAGAGGGCCAAGGGTGGCTTCTACATTATTTTAAAAGCATTTGACACACATTACAAAATTGCTTTCTAAAAAGCCAGTACTAATGTGCTCTTATTCCACAGCTGTAGAAAATGCTCATCTTCCTCATAGCTTTTCCTTATAAAGATTTTTTTTAAAATCTTTGCTAATATTATAGACAAAATGGTCTTGTATTAACTTGATTTATTATTATTATGGAGATTAATGTTGAACTTTTTATATTCCATTTGTATATTCTCTTTTGAAAGCATTCATTCCATGTGTTTTTACACTTATTTTACTGAAAAGTGGGTGTTTTCTTATGAATTTGTTTGCTCCTTTATGTCAGGTTTTTTGACTGTTGTATTTCTTGCAAATATTTTTCCTGTTTTATTTGTCTTTTTATTTTGTTGATATCTTCTACAGGGATGTCTTTCCCACATTTATTTATCAATGAAATGTTTTTCTCTTGCTTTTTTGTCCAGAAAGCTTTTTCTCAGCTTCAAATGTGTTAAATATCTATATTTTCTGCTAAGTGTTGTGATTTTATTTTCTTCCATGTATTTTTTTTCTTTTTCCTTTTTTTTTTTTTTTTT